ATGCATAATCAGCCCGTAGAACTTCTTGCCAGAGGATGTTGTGAAGACCAGGACTTAAACAGGGTTCAAATAAGGACTAGGTAAATTCCTCAGGGGCATTTTACATTGGCCACTGTCAGAAGACAGAATACTGGGCTAGATGGACCTTTGGTCTGACCCAGTCTGGCCGTTCTTACGTTCTTCCTGCCCTAGGTCATGCTACGGCAGGAAGGATCTGAAACTTCAACTTCTTGCTCATTCTCCTGTGTGTCTGACACTCCTTGTGGTGAAGGGTTTCCCCAGAGTGCTGAAAATGCCTCTGGGACCTGTTGAGGGGATGCTTAAATTGCCTAGGTAAGTTGTGGAATCTCCACCACTGGAGCTGGTTAGACACATGTCTGCCAGGGATGGTCTAGATCAGGGTTTCCCAAAGTGTTCTCTGTGAAGCCCTGGAGCTCCGTCAATGGGTCCAGGGGCTCCGTGAGAAAATATTAATGACAGTTGTAGACCCTGTTATTTTACATAAGAACATAAGAGCGGCCGTACTGGGTCAGACCAAAGGTCCATCTAGCCCAGTAGCCTGTCTGCCGACAGTGGCCAGCACCAGGTGCCCCAGAGAGGGTGGACCGAAGACAAAGATCAAGCGATTTGTCTCCTGCCATCCCTCTCCAGCCTCTGACAAACAGAGGCCAAGGACACCATTTTATCCCCTGGCTAATAGCCTTTTATGGACCTAACCTCCATGAAATTATCTAGCTTCTCTTTAAACTCTATTATAGTCCTAGCCTTCACAGCCTCCTCTGGCAAGGAGTTCCACAGGTTGACTACACGCTGTGTGAAGAAGAACTTTCTTTTATTAGTTTGAAACCTGCTACCCATTAATTTCATTTGGTGTCCTCTAGTTCTTCTATTTAGGGAACTAATAAATAACTTTTCTTTATCGGCCCTCTCCACACCACTCATGATTTTATAGACCTCTATCATATCCCCATATGTCATATCCCCATTTTGTTTCTCATTTGCTGATCGTTTCCTTGAGGAAAAAAGAATGGGTAAGAACTACATAAGAAAAAAAATAGAATTCCAGAACTTTGTCTGTTTATTTGGGTACCTCATGAATTAAAAATCACGATATTTTAAGGGCTCCACCAAATTTTCAAAACCCTGTGTGGGCTCTGCAGCCAAAAAAGTTTGGGAAACTATGATCTAGATGGTGCCTGGTCCTGCCATGAGTGGAATTATAGAATCCAAGGGCTGGAAGAGATCTCAGGAGTCATCGAGTCCAGCCCCCTGCCCAAAGCAGGACCAACCCCAATTAAACCATCCCAGCCAGAGCTATGTCAAGCGGAGACTTAAAAATCTCGAGGGATGGAGATTCCACCCTCTCCCTAGGGAACCCATCCCAGTGCTTCCCCACCCTCCTCGGGAAATAGTTTTTCCTAATCTCCAACCTGGACCTCTCCCACTGTAACTTGAGCCCATTGCTCCTCTTTCTGCCATCTGTCACTACTGTGAACAGCTTCTTTGGAACCGCCCTTCAGGGAGTTGCAGGCTGCTCTCAAATCCCCCCTCCCTCTTCTCTTCTGCAGACTAAACAAACCCAAATCCCTCAGCCTCTCCTCATAGGTCATGTGCTCCATCCCCCTCATCATTTTGGTCGCCCTCCGCTGGACCCTCTCCAATGTGTCCACATCCTTTTTATAGTGGGGGCCCCAGAACTGGACACAATACTCCAGATGTGAATACTCAGAGCTGAATAAAGGGGAATAATCACTTCTCTGGATCTGCTGGCAATGCTCCTCCTAATGCACCCTAATACGCCATTAGCCCTCTTGGCTACAAGGGCGCCCTGTTGACTCATCTCCAGCTTCTCATCCACTGTAATCCCCGGGTCCTTTTCTGCTGAACTGCTACTTTGCCAGTTGGACCCCAGCCTGTAACAATGCTTGGGGATTCTTCCATTCCAAGTGCAGGACTCTACACTCGTCCTTGTTGAACCTCATCAGATTTCTTTTGGCCCGATCCTCCAATTTGTCTCGGTTACTCAGGACCCTATCCCTGCCCTCCAACATATCTATGTCTTCCCCAGCCAATTTGTCATCCGCAAACTGGCTTAGCGTGCAATCCATCCCCTCATCCAGGTCATTAATAAAGATGTTGAACAAAACCGGTCCTAGAACCGAACCTTGGGGTATCCCACTAGAAACCGACTGCCAACCAGACATCAAGCCCTTGATCACTACCCATTAGGCCTGATAATCTAGCCAGCTTTCTATCCACCTTACAGTCCATTTATCCAATCCATACTTCCTTAACTTGAAAGCTCTCACGGTCCCATCCAGAACTAGGATTCTATGCTTTGCTTGGGCTCACACCTATCAGGATACTGAATCACCACCTTCTGGTTAATTGGATGCTTTATTGGCAGGTGACTAATGCACAGTTTGTATTTTGCCCCGTGGCACTGTTCATGCAGAAAGTCACTGGGCAGAGTAATCTGGTTTCTATGCTATATCATGGTCTAATAGCTGGGTTTGGTTCCTGCAAGCATCCCCTTTGGAGCTGTCATGCACAGGGGGACGGCTGACCATAACCTGGTGACTAAAGGGTTAACTCCGGTAGCTAGCAAAGGTGTCTTCCAGGGGGGCGGAAGAACCAATGGAGACAGAGGATTGGAATTTGAATTGAATAAAGGTCCCCTGCCTGCTTTCTTCATGGGGAGAGTTACACCAGGAGTCGAGAGACACAGACTCCCAAGTTTTCTTTGTACATATAACAAAAGTACATATGGTACTGCCAGGTTCAAAAGCATTAAATATAATAAACATGGATTAGGGTATGTTTGGTGAAATTTGAAATGGAATTTGAAATTCTGCATATAGAAGGCCTTTCTGCTAATCCATATGGCTTCAAAGAGTCATTGGATCCAAAGATGAAGATGCCTGTTTTTGCTTTGGTGGCCTTTGACATGGCCTCTGTGGTGCTGATTTTGAAATCCAAATTGTTTCCATTTTTCACATCAAACTACAGAATTGTGGTGCTAGGTATTTCTTCATACCTGGTACCCTCCGTGCCTATGGCACCAGTTCCTTCCTCTGTTCCTATTTCAGAGCTATAGTTGAATCTGAAGAGGCTATAAACAGTGGTGGCTGATGTGCACTTTCCAACAGCTGAGGATTTCTCAAATTAGAATGACAGGAAGTTGACAGTGAGGAAGAGATGGGTCTTCTTTGGTTCTATGATCTGCTTCTTCCACACCTGGGCTGTGTCTACACTGGCATGAATTTCCGGAACTGATTAAAACAGAATAGTTTTCGTTATAAGTATTTCCGGAAAAAGAGCGTCTACACTGGCAGGCTGCTTTTCCGGAAAAACCCTTTTTCCGGAAAAGCATCTGTGGCCAATGTAGACGCGCTTTTCCGGAAAAGAGCCCCAAGCGTCATTTTCGCGATCGGGGCTTTTTTCTGGAAAAGACTACTGGGCTGTCTACAATGGCCCTTTTCCGGAACAGTGTTCCGGAATAAGGACTTATGCCCGAGCGGGAGCAGAATAGTTTTTCCGGAATAGTGGCTGATTTTGTACAGTAGAGCATCGTTGCTTTTCCGGAAATTCAAGGGCCAGTGTAGACAGCTCGCAGCTTATTCCGGAAAATCGGCTGATTTTCCGGAATAAGTGGCCCAGTGTAGACACAGCCAGCCAGAATGATTTAAACCCAGGCAGAACTACCATGCCCCCACAGAATTCAGGGAATGGGAGCAGACTGAACAAAAAGAAAATGAGAAGTGAGTACCAGGGAAATGCGAATCCAGTCACGTAGAGGGCAATTTTTCTTTATTTGGTATTTTGGTTTGAACAGTTCTCTGTGACTCTCTGCCTCCCCTCCCCGTTTACTACCATCCAGCTTTCTGCTGAGACTTTTTTCCTCTGGTTTTTCATTTGTTTTCCTTGGTTGCTCTGTACATCTAGCACCCAAGTCAGCTTTCTCAAGTTTCTCTTTTGTTCTGTAATAAAAATCACTCTTTTAAAGTGATTCCTATAAATTTGATTCTTGTGTCCTGGACGGTCTGCCTGTGTGTATCTGCAGGCCTTCGAATGAGGGGTCAGAGACCACAGCTTGTTTTTCTCTTTTCTTTTCCAAGCTCTTTTGGGGCAAAAGAGCTCGGGGTACCCCTGTGGGTGGTTTCAAGTGTTCGCCCCTGTTTTTTAGGGATCAAAAAGTACTTGATGGTGGCAGCAAATTCCCCAAAATCTGGGTATTAGCATTTGGGGGGGGGGGGGGGGGGGGCTCAGAAAGGCAAGATTTTGAGGCTATCTCGCAGGGCCCCACCTTCTGCATTCGAGTGCCAGAGTGGGAACAGCCCGCTAAGCAGGGCTGTTACATACAATACTCTGTTCCCTGTGCATGCCCCCCGACAGGTTGGTGTGAATTCCCATGGGCAGTTAATGTGGGAGAGTTTAACCTAACTCCTTTTTCTCCCCTCCCCCCTCCCCCAGGGAGGTGGTTGCAGCCAAGATCTGTGGGAGGCCGCCAGCAGAGTTGGTGTCAACAATTCCTAAAGCCGCCCTGGGTGTGATGTTCTTCCTGGGGGCACCGTTCCCAAAGGATTGCTGATTTAATCTGGCTGCTCCACGCTATCGGCAGCTCTGGGGAGGTTCTGGGCCTTTCAATCACACCAGCCTCCAGTTCGCTTTACGGGGAGGGGACCTTGCCAGCTCCCTGAATGACAAGCCATAATGCAAAGCTTACGGCCCATGCCCCCAGTTTTTGGCTGCATGCGGCTCCTTTGCCCCATTTCTACAGCATAAGAACGTAAGAATGGTCGTAGTGGGTCAGACCAAAGGTCCATCTAGCCCAGTATCCTGTCTGCCGACAGTGGCCAGCACCAGGTGCCCCAGAGCGGGTGGACCGAAGACAATGATCAAGCGATTTGTCTCCTGCCATCCCTCTCCAGCCTCTGACAAACAGAGGCCAAGGACACCGTTTTATCCCCTGGCTAATAGCGAGAGAGAGAGAGACCTACCTCCAATATCCAAGTCCACCTTATAGTTGATGAGGTGGTTGTGCATTGTCCCGAGAGTGTGTTCCCCGACCCGGCTGCCATAGTCCGTGCCCTCGCCGTAGAGAAAGGAGGAGCTAATGTAGCCCGTGGCGTGGACTTTCACTTCCATCGCTCCGTTCTGGTAGAAGATGAAGTCCCAAACGTAGTCATAGTTTAGGAGCGTGGAAATGGCCCTGAGAACAAGCGCGTATTTCACCAGACCCCCATAGTATAGGGACTCCGTGTTGGAGAAATGGCGCCGCAGCGGGACGGCCGTGTTGTGTTCGAAAACACACATGACGTTTTTATTCACTTTAGGGGTCTCCGACTCGACTAAATAGTGTCTGTCCACATAGGTGGCTGTGTAGGGGCAGTCAACGCCTCGGACCAGCTCAAACGCCAGCTTCCCGATGCCAAAGCTCCCGTCCATATAGCGCGTCACCATCCCCCCGGGACAATTGGAGCCATAGAGTGCAAGAGCTTCTTGGAGAGACAGCTCATAGACAACCCTCTCTCCGTTGAACCGGATGTCAAACAGCCGCGGGCCTGTGTTCACGTCCATCCCGAAGGAGAAACTCCAGGCCTGGAAAAGGACGTGATTATGATGGATGCAGTAGCGGGGCCCACGAGGCTGATACGGCAAAGGGCCTGGTAGGGATTGGGTCCCTGTGGGCCTCATGGAACCATATTTCTCCTCCGGTCGGACTTTTTTAACTTTGACGTCGTTCACGTTGCCTTGAATGAACCCGCTCTCCAGCTGCGCCATGTCTTCGTAGTACTTCCCGTTGTAGAACACTTGGCTTACCCTCCACTGGGAGAGGTCCAGGCTGCTGTGGTTAACCAGCATCTCCAGCCCCACCGGGTGCAGGCAGTAGCCCCTGCCGTACGCATTCTGGAACACAACAAACCATGTGGCGCGATCACCCGACTGGAACCCCCGGGGAACCGTGGTGAAGGTAACAAAATTGGTCCCATCGTATTCACAGCACTCCCTGAGCAAGCGTGGGGCTTTGGAGAACTCCCGGTGGAGGAAAAGGTCGATCTTCTTGTATTCCCTCTGGTGCGGGCCCCCCCCCCGCCGTATTTCCGCACCGTGACGTCCCGATGAGCCGTCGGCCGGGGCAGGGGACCCACCACGTACTCCGTGATATTTGGATCTGGTTTGTTTCCGAAGTACACCACTGCCAGCGCCTGCCGGGCCGGTTGGCTGCCGTTACGGTCCAAGAAGGCCAGCACCTCGGCCTTGGGGGGCAGCTGCACGTCGACGTAGTAAATGCAGTTATCAGAGGGGTTTGCCTGAGAGGCATCTACCAAGGACACCCCAAGGTTGTCGTGGAGATACGTCACCACCTCCACCATTTCTTTTGGCGTCAGATCGGCGAAGACCAGGCTCTGGTCCCCGTGCTCTCCCCCCTGACTGCTCGGGGGCTGGGACTCGCAGCTGGCTGCCTTCCCTCTCGTCAGCAGCACCCAGACCAGCGCGAATATTGTGGCGAGCGCCAGAACCAGGAGGATGACGACCGTTTTCAGGTTCATGTTGCTGCCTTCACAGCCAGTTCCTGCCGGCGGCAGGCGGCCCTCTGCGGGCCACGTCTGTGTCGGTGTGTGGGGAGGTGCAGGGCTGGAGGAGGGAGATGTGGTGGGAAGACGCGGGAGGTTTGCTGGAAACCATAAAAGGCTCCTTCTCCGCGTCTCCAGACCAGTCACAGGCTCAGCTTCCGAAGCAGCACCCGCTGTCTCCGCACAGCGCTCGCTTGCTGGCCGGCTCCTGGGGAGGTGGGTTACAGATGCTGCGGTCTTGGAGCCAGGGATGGCGTGAGGGTCCTTTTAGAAGACGCAAGCCTGGACCCCCAAAAAATGCTCTGGCCAACAAAGCAGAGCCCTTGGAGACGAGAGATGTTTGCTAGGGGCTTTTTGCCAGATGCTGTAATCTGATCCCTCCCAGGCTGGCTACAGCTCTCTTAGGAGCTTTCCTGCAGCCTTGCCTGGGACTTCCCCTCTCTCTTGCTTCCTCTGCATGGTGACTTCTTTGGTTGCAGCCAAAGGGTCTGGGCTCTGTCTCTCGTGCCTGTTCTGGTGTCACCACAAGCTCTGCAGACTCCTTTATTTGGTGTTTGCAGGCAAACAGCCCTGGTTCTGGAACTTAGCTCTGCCAGGAGTGACTCCCATATCTATTCCCCATTCCCGCCCCCTGTGACTCCCATATCTATTCCCGTTCCCGCCCCCTGTGTGGTACACCGCAGGGAATTCTCCCTCTTGGAACGCTCACTGGGGGGACAACCCGGCAGGCATAAGGCCGGCAATGTGCCCTCTCATTTTTTCCACCCAGGTGCGGAATAAATTGTGTTACCTGCACCGAGGCATGCAGAGATGTGCACCAGCAGTAGAAACACCTGCTGTGGGAGGCTGTGGGCATGCTGCTAATCAGCGGGGTGGCATTGGAATCTCTCCTGGGTGGCTGCCCGAGCGCTCAGCTTACAGGGAATGCTGAGGGCTGGTCTGGGCCCACGGGGAGTAAGGACTCTCTTTGCTTGCCATGTTCCTGGGGCTCTCTGCAATAAATAATCAGAGTAAGGAGCTGCCGGGAGGGGATGGCACCGCAGTGGGGCTCTCCGATTCCCTGCGTACCTTTAGAAATAGCATTTGCATGCTGTAACAGCACACAGCGGTCCCGGCGATGGGCCCTGAACAAACAAACACAGACACACAGAGTTTTCTTTGCAGCCCTCCCGCGTGCTATGGAACAATCCCAGAGCCAGTCGCCTCCTGGGGGGCTGGGCGTACCCCTCATCGACGTGCAGCAAGCAGGTTGCTGAAGATGGGCCAGACGGGGTCAGAGCCCTGCAGAGTCTCAACCCCTCAAAAATCTCCTTCCTCCAGGACATAACCCATCACCTGCTCTGAGCTGGATTTGGTGCACAAAGGCAGGGCAGCTGCGGGGAAACTCAGGCTGCGTTGACTAGATCACAGGGGAGGTACAAACCCAAGCTCCGCTGAGAGTCAGTTTGCCATGTAAGCAAATGGCCCTTTTCTGTCCCTAAGGGTATGTCTACACTGCATCCCTAGTTCGAACTAGGGATGCAGTGTAGACATACCCCCTGACCCACATTCAGCAAATGCCTCATCTCAGGCCTCTGCTCCACCCCCTCCCCCCTGCCACCTGCTGCTTTCTCTCCTGCAATTTAGGAAATTAGGGGTGTGTCCACACAGCGAAGTTATTTCGAAATAACTTCGCTGTGTGGACACACCCCTAATTTCCTAAATTGCAGGAGAGAAAGCAGCAGGTGGCAGGGGGGAGGGGGTGGAGCAGAGGCCTGAGATGAGGCATTTGCTGAATGTGGGTCAGGGGGTATGTCTACACTGCATCCCTAGTTCGAACTAGGGATGCAGTGTAGACATACCCCCTGACCCACATTCAGCAAATGCCTCATCTCAGGCCTCTGCTCCACCCCCTCACCCCTGCCACCTGCTGCTTTCTCTCCTGCAATTTAGGAAATTAGGGGTGTGTCCACACAGCCAAGTTATTCCGAAATAACTATGCGAGCGGCGACACAGCCAAATAATTTCGAAATAACGGACGGCTTATTCCGACTTCTGTAACCCTCGGGCTGTGTCTAGACTGGCAAGTTTTTCCGCAAAATCACATGATTTTGCGGAAAAACTTGCCAGCTGTCTACACTGGCCGCTTGAATTTCCAGAAAAACACTGACGATCTCATGTAAGATTGTCAGTGCTTTTCCGGAAATACTATGCTGCTCCCGTTCGGGCAAAAGTCTTTTTCCGAAAGACTTTTGTGCAAAAGAGCCAGTGTAGACAGCAAAGTACTGTTTTCTGCAAAAAAGCCCCGATTGCGAAAATGGCGATCGGGGCTTTTTTGCGGAAAAGCGCGTCTAGATTTGCCACGGACGCTTTTCCACAAAAAGTGCTTTTGCGGAAAAGCATCCTGCCAATCTAGAAAGCTTTTTTCCGAAAATGCTTTTAACGGAAAACTTTTCCGTTAAAAGCATTTTCGGAAATTCATGCCAGTGTAGACGTAGCCTCGTTGTATGAAGAATAAGGCCTATTCCAAAAGAGCTATTTCGAAATCAGGCGTGTGTAGACGCTCCACTGCTGCTATTTCGAAATAGCCCCTCACCGGGGCCATTCTAAGTTACTCCTCTTGGGGCTCTGAATCCAGGGAGCCCGTCTACATTAGGGAAGCCTGCCTCGGACTCGTTTTGAGGCTTCTCTGCAGTATAGCCGTGCTGTTTCAAAATAAGCTATTTCGGGATAACTATTCCAGAATAGCTTATTCCGAAATAACTGTGCAGTGTAGATGTAGCCTAGGATTTTCCTCTCTTCCCAGCTCTCCCGCCCTTCCTCTTTTAAGGTCAAAAGTTCCTTTCCCCCAATGCTTGGAGAGCCTCCAGCTCTGGGTGTGTCGCTCGAGGTGACCATGCGGCGTTGTCTCTGAATCCGGCAAGCCGCCCCAACCAAAGCGTTTCCGCCCCACGAGCAGGGCTGACCCAGGTGCCGATCTCTGGCCCCAGCCTGAGGGCTGCTGCCCCTGCAGACCAGGGACAAGAGATGGTCTGGACTCGAGGTGGGGTGGAAACTGCGCCCCGATTGGTTAAGACCCCACGTCCTGCAGAACAGGAGGGGGCTGAGACCAGCCCTTGTGGTGGCGGAGGAGACGTCCAAGTGGCCATCTCTGCCCCTTCCCTTCCCAAGAGCCTCGTTCCCAGCCTCAGACTTTTTTTCAAATTCACGCCTCCCATGCCGCCTCATCCTAGTGGTCTCACTCACAGTGCAGCAGGGCCGGCAGACAAAATGCCCATCTCCTCGGGTCAGCGGCCTACCGGGCTCTCGCGGCTCTAACTCCGGCCTCTTCCCTCTCCTCAGCGGAAGGCCCTGCCTTGGGACGCAGCCAAAATCTGCACCTGCAGCCCTGCACCCTTGGCAGACAGCGGGGACAGGCCCTGGCTGGGGACGCTTGTTGCGAGGCAGGTATCCAGGGGCCAGCGGTGACCCCAGGACAACGAGGGATGGACTAGGACAGGCTGGACACAGGGAGAAGCCCAGGCGCAGTGAGCCAGATGAGGCAGTGCCATCACCCGGCTGTGGGGAGCAGGGCCGCCCAGCCCCTGGCACCCAGGAGGTGTTTGTGCCAGCCGCACCTGGCACATCTCATGACAGGCCCTGGCCTGCAAGCGCCTCCTCCTGGCTCCAGGGCTGTGGGGGCATCTGTCAAGCAAGCAGCCTCTGCCTCCCGTCTCGCTGCCCCAGCCCCCACCCCAGAGTGGCTGAGAAAGGAGGGGGAGTAACACTAACCTCACAGCCACTGCCCTGCTTCCCCATCAGCCCAGCACCCCCAAAGCCCAGCATCTCCCACTACCCCCGAGCTACTCTGCCCCAGCTCAACACCCCCAGGCTTGCACCCCATTACCCACACCCAGCCCAGCTGCCCCCAAGCTACTATACACCAGCTCACCACCCCCAGGCCTGCACCCCGTTAACCTACACCCAGCCCAGCTACCCCTAAGCTACTATACACCAGCTCACCATGACCAGCCTTGCACCCCAGCCCAGCACCCCGTCACCCTACACCCAGCCCAGTTACCCCCAAGCTAATATACACCAGCTCACCACCCCCAGGCCTGCACCCCGTTACCCCACACCCAGCCCAGCTTTCCCCAGCCTACTATACACCATCCCACCATGCCCATCCCTCCACACACACCGCTGCCCCACATGGGGCTGGCGCTGTAGGAATGAACCGGGCTTGGTGTCAGTTTCTAACAGCAGTGGCTGGGGGAAGCCACACCAGGGCAAGTGGGAGGTGCCGCCCCACCTGCTGTCTAACCTCCCAGGCCACAGACTGGAGCTGGGCTCCTCCTGCACTGCCCTCCAGGGTGTCACTGCCTTCCCCTCCCCCCAAAGACAGGGCTCCCTGGGAAGAGGTTGGCCAACGCCCTTCCGGTGCTTCTTCTGCAGGCACAAATTCATCCGGGGCTGGAGCCTCGCCAGCCCGTCAAACCCCAGCTGCTCTGAAAATCCAGCTTCCTCCTTGGATAGTGGTGGGCCCCAGATCTTGGGAAGGAGGGTCCTCTCTTGGGACCAGGGAGGGATAAACTTAATGCCCTGCCCGCGTCACCAGTGGCCTGCCGGTCATGGTCTCATCAGCTGTTGGCCTGGCTGGCCCCTCCCCCAGTCTGATCCTACCCAGCACCTTTCAGGGCTAAGTGTCCCATTTGTTCAACTATTTAACAGATCCCGTGTCTCCCCACCCCGGCTGGCGGGCTGTAATGTGGCTCATGGTTCCCACCCCGGAGTAAACAGCCAACTGTCATTCTGCTGCTGCTCAGCCCTCTTGCAGCCTGCGCTCACACGCGTATTTACCGGAGATCACCGTCCCCAAGGCCTGTGAGGGAGCAGAGCCTCGAGAGCCAGTTTTGAGACAGATCTGGGCAGCGTGATGACTCTGGAGCATCCGATTCCTTCCTTCTACTGCACAAAGACCCTGCAGCCTGTGACGCTTACGGGCTCATCAGATTTCGGAACCCATCGTAGGTGAACGAGAGTCTAGTTGACCTGCCAGCTTGACCACTGATGGTGCCCCCATCAACTCCGGCACTCCTCCGGGTCACGAGGGGTGAGGGAAGAGCTCCCGCAGTGGGAACATGGCGGAAATTCAACCTAAGGTTTGCCGACTCCAGTTATGCTATTCTTGTAGCTGGAGTTGCGTCTCTTAGGTCGACTTTCTCCCCAGTGTAGACTTGGTCTTAGCTCACAGCAGCCAGATCAGACTCAGGCACAGCCCCAGGCCTCTAGATAGCTGATGTCCTTGAAAGGCACTCATCTCTGACCAACCTCGGGGAGACCTCCCGGCTGCTGTCCAGCTTGTGCTTTCTCAAGGCTGGGATTTGGCCAAAGCTTCGGGCCAGAACATGGCTACGTCTACACTGGCATGATTTTCCAGAAATGCTTTTAACGGAAAAGTTTTCCATTAAAAGCATTTTTGGAAAAGCACGTCTAGATTGGCAGGACGCTTTTCCGCAAAAGCACTTTTTGCGGAAAAGTGACCGTGGCCAATCTAGATGCGCTTTTCCGCAAAAAAGCCCCGATCGCCATTTTCGTGATCGGGGCTTTTTTGCGGAAAACAAATCTCTGCTGTCTACACTGGCCCTTTTGTGCAAAAGTTTTTCGGAAAAAGACTTTTGCCCGAACGGGAGCAGCATAGTATTTCCGCAAAAGCACTGACAATCTTACATGAGATCGTCAGTGCTTTTGCGGAAATTCAAGCGGCCAGTGTAGACAGCTGGCAAGTTTTTCCGGAAAAGCAGATGATTTTGCCAGTCTAGACACAGCCCATGTGTTTAAAGCTGATTTATAAACAATGGCAGTGCACCCATAGCCTGCGGGATTCGTTTCCAGGGGATGTTGTCAAGGCCAAAACTAGAAAAAAGAATAAAAAAAAAGAACTAAAAAAAGAATCAAATAAGTCCACAGAGCATGGATCCATCAATGGCTGCTACACAAGACGGTTAAGGATATAAGCCCATGTTCTGGGTGTCCATGAGTCTCTGATTGCCAGAAGTTGGGATTGGCCAACAGGGAACAGATCACTCAGGGTACGTCTACACTGCAAGGCTGTTTCGGGATATCTCCAGTATCCCAAAATAGCTGCCCTGCGTCGACACAAGCTGCCCGTTATTTCGAAATGTTTTTCGAAACAACAGGCACGCTACTTCGCCCCCTGATAACCCTCGTTGCAGGAGGGATAAGGGATGGCTCAAAGTAGAGCTTTATTTCGAAATTCGGCGCTGTGTAGACGCGCCAAATTTCAAAATAAGCTCTTTTGAAATAAAATCGAAATAAGAGACACCATTTGTGCAGCACGAATTGCGGATCTTATTTGGAGTTTAGGGTGTAATGTAGACGCACCTTCAGTGATTGCCTCTTCTGGTCACTCCCTCTGAACGGTTACCTTGGCAAACAGGATAATAATATAATAAATGGAGACCTATCTATCTCATAGAGCTGAAAAGGACCTTGAGAGGTCACTGCGTCCAGTCCCCTACCCTCAATGGCAAGACCAAGTATCATCCCTGACAGATTTGCCCCAGATCCCTAAATGGCCCCCCTCAAGAATGGAACTCAAAACCCTGGGTTTAACAGGCTAATGCTCAAACCACTGAGCTATCCCTCCCCCCATACTAAACTAGCCAGACCCTTGGTCTGAGCCAATATGACTACCCCCATGTTTTTATGCTTAGACTCTTAGCCCTGTTCGCCTCCCTGGACACAGGTAGCACAACCCAGCTGCGACAGTTTTAAGAATAAGGCATTTGAGATCACTTGGATTCATTATTTTCCCCAAACGAGCCACGAGACAATATTTATTACTGTTATCGGAGGAACAGCATTCGCTCTCCTACCTGCCTCCCTCCATGTGGCACGCTGGATTTAAACATAGTGAGCAGTCCTGTGGCACCTGAGAGGCTAACAACATATCTGGTACCACGAGCTTCCGTGGGCAAAACCCGCTTCCTCCGATGAGCTGGAGAGCATGCGATTCTAAAAAAGACGAATGCGCATTCCAACTGGCAGTGCACAGAGCATGTTATGTTTCCCCATAAAGATACAGCCCCTTGTAATAGGGAAGTTATGATATAATAAGCTATGCAATTAGCAGATGGCCTTGCAGACGCATCTCGATTATTGAAGTAGGGTTTTTGAGGCAAAGTAGTCGCTCAGATTCATTTCTTCTACCCCATAAAGTCGCAGCAGCCCATAACTCTTAGATGCAGCCCTCATAAGCAATTATAAAGGTGGTGTTCCTTAACCAAAAGATACTCAGTCACTAGAAAACAGTTTTAAGACAGATTTCCATTGATGCAAATGGATCTTCTGGGCAGAGGGAGGACCCCGGTGCATCCAATTCCTTCCGTCTACTGAACAAAGACCCTGCCGCCCGGGACTCTTACAGTCTCGTCAGATTCTGGAACCCCTCGTAGGTGAATGGAGGGAGGGCCGGAGAGCATGAGGCGCTTTGGGGCAGGCAAGCCAGGTGGTTGACTTCACACGCGCTGGCGTCCTGCTTGCTGTTGAAAAAGACGCTGTCAGGGGAGTAGATGGACGGATCCATGTCATAATAATTGTAGGGTCTCAGGAGAACGCTGACTCCGTTTCCCACTGTCACCGTGTTGGGAATATCTTCCGCATGTGGGATGTGAAGGAAACCGGTTGTGATCCAGGCTACCAAGTCCTGGGGAAGAGAGACAGAACCACATAATTGGGTTATTTCAGGAAAACATCCTTTTGGGATTATATCCTGGGGCAGACCAGTGTCTGAGGACAGTACCTGGGCCAAAGTCTAGCAGTGTCGGGCTAGGAGAGTGGCTTGGACAACGGAAACATTGTCCTGACTGTGACAGGGCATCTGCCCTGCACTGGCCCTCGAAGGGCAAAACCCAGCCCTGAGCGAGTACGGTTGCCAGATATTCAGTATTGACACAGACAGTCTGGAATTTTCACCTCCTGTCCGGTAAAAAAAATCCAGAAAATACCAGACACCTAAAATGTCCGATATTTTCTGATTTTTTTTCCTGGACAGGAGGTGAAAATCCCAGGTGCTTACCTGGTTTCGCAGGGGAGCTGTCTGGCCCGGAGCAGGAAGACAAGACAGCCACCAGCCGCCTGTTAGGGCCAAAAAGCCTCAAAGGCATTTCTGAAAGGGGTCATGCGGCTACAAATGTGGTCTCTCCCCCCCCCCTTTCTTTTTTCTAAACAGAATTTTTTCCCCCCTGGTTTTTTTTGGGGGTGGGGGAGGAATTGCAGGAAATCCAGTGGGTCCAGACTAACGGGGAAGCGAGGACACGCGGAGACTCCAGCCAGAGGGAGGCGTCCAGCGAGCAGACAAAAGCTAACCCCCAGGCTACCATGGAGGCACCATGGCAGTGAGCCTGCCCCGGGTCACTGACACTTTCCCCCTCTACCGATTTGTTGGAATTTCAGATTTTTTCAGACTGTCCCGACCAGCTCTGCTCCTTCGCTCCGCACAGCGACTCGGTTGCAGGGACCTCACGGGGGGCAAAGAACAAGCAGGTGGGGAGAGGAGGCAGTGAGCACAGTGAGTTATTTCTCTTTTCCTGAGGTTTTACCGTCGCCCTGGAGAAACCGAGTGTCCCTCTAGCAATGTCCGTCTGAACCCTGAGCAAAAGAATGGGGTTTCTCGGTGGGCCCAGGGTTGTAGCTAGCTCTGAGACTCAGCCCCAGTCAAATCCAACTCACCTCGTTTACGATGGTCTCATTGTTTATGAAGTCAGCAAAGGCCACCGTGGGTGTCCAGGGGTCGTTCTGGTTGTAGATGCTGCTACTTGTTGGTTCCTCCTCTTTTCGTTTGGTGACGGCCAGTTTGTACCTAATGAGGGGAAAGAGAGAAGGCAGCCACGCGATACAGGGGCTTTTCAAACCAGCTTGGGAGAAATATACCACTACAGGTTGAACCTCTCTTGTCCGGCACTCTTCAAGTGATCCCGCTCCTGTCACCCATTCCCAGACTCTGACAAGGGCTAGGGACACCATTCCTACCCATCCTGGCTAATAAGCATTGATGGACCTAACCTCCATGAGGGTTCTTTTTTGAACCCTGTTAAAGTCCTGGTCTTCACAACATCTTCTGGCAAGGAGTTCCACAGGTTAACTATGTGCTGCGTGAAGAAAAACTTCCTTTTGTTTGTTTTAAATTTGCTACCTATTCATTTCATTTGGTGACCCTTAGTTCTTACATTATGGGAACAAGTAAATAACTTTCCCTTGTTCACTTTTTCTACACCAGTCTTGATTTTATAGACCTCTATCCTATCCCCCCCTTAGTTTCCTCTTTTCTAAACTGAACAGTCCCAGTCTTTTTAATCTCTCTTCATATAGGACCCAAATGCCTAACAATTTTTGTTGACCTTTTCTGAACCTTTTCCAATTCCAACGTATCTTTGAGATAAGATGAGCACATCTGTATGCAGTATTCAAGATGTGGGTGTTCCATGGATTTATATGGAAGCAATAAGATGTTCTCTTTCTTAGTCTCTATCCCTTTTTCAATGATTCCTAACATTCTATTTGCTTTTTTGACTGCCGCTGCACAGTGGCATGTTTTCAGAGAACTCTCCCCAAGATCTCTCTCTCGTGTAGTTGTAGCTAAATTAGACCCCATCATTTTCTGTTTAGCGTTGGGATTAATTTTTTCCCGATGTGAATTACTTGAAATTTAATGTTGATAAATGTAATTTGCCATTTTGTTGCCCAATTATCCCTTGGCATGATTTTAGTTGGTCGGATGTCCAGCATCTACATTTTTGTTAGTCTCTAAGGTGCTGGTTTTTAAGTTTTTTCACTTATCCTGGGTGTGGCCAAGTTTCCCAGGGTCCCATAAAGTTTGTTTACAGCCACCAGGCCTGGCTCTCAGTGTTCTGTTCTGTTTAGCTCTAATTTACCCCTAAATGCTTCTAAGAGCCCAGTAAGCAGGGGAAATGTTGGTAAAGCTCCTAGACCAGTGGTCCCCAACCTTCTGAGGTTGTCGGGCACCAGGGGGCGTGGCCGTTCACCCACCGGGCGCCAGGGGGCGGGGACACTTGCGCGCCTGGGGGCAGCCCCCCCATAGCTGCATGCCCGGGGGCGGGGCCCCCCCATAGCCACACGCCTCGCCCGGGGCCAGCGCTCCCCCCACCATGCGCCTGGTGCCTGGCCAGCCCCGAGCACCTGGCGGGCGCATGGAAATGCCCCCCTCGGCGCCATG